GAAGAACAGGTCCTTTATTTTTCCTGAAAAAGCGGTAACATGCAAGTTTTCCTGGTCTCTGATGTGGAAGCTAGATGATTATTTGTAATTGAGGAAGCCTCCCATTGGAGAGCTGTATTCAAAACATTCAAGACTTACTGAACAAATGAGAAGTTAGATTCAGCACCAGCTAATCTGATTCTGCTTTCTGATATGACCTCACCACCAAAAGAAATCTCTATTCAAAGATCAATACTTGGTTACAGGGCTCGATAATCGATTTAAAATCAAAACAGAAACATTTATTTTTGCTACCGCACCCAGACTATTCCTCTTAATTTTTGGGTTTAAACCTGACCTGCTGTGCCACTACAAACAATCCTCGCAAAGTCTGTTTATAAGGTCTTGAGGAGGTATCGGGTTAGCTGGAAGAACGTCCTCTTGTAGCTATGCCAGAAGCACGGGCACTCGCTAAAACAACTTGCTGCTCTCTCTTGAAGTCCCTAACTAATAAGCAGTGCAAAATATCCTAGAACTGAAATGCTACACAACATGCAGAAGAGATCCATCCTGAGATTTGGTTACGAACATCGACTTCCCAGCATGAAAACAGCAAACTTCCCTGCAAAACAGCAACTGTGTGAAAGTGCTTCCCAAGCACCTGTTCAGAGCGCACTGCCATGTCCTTCAGAAAAGGTCAGCACAGGATTCCAGAAACGGTACTTTCACTACCATCAGCTGTAACGAGCTTTAACATTGACCACCACCACCCCAAACCCGACAAAAATGAGCAAAAACCCCACAACCTTGCAATATCCTTTTCATTCCAGGCTCCTACCAAAAGGTTTTAGCAGCTGGAAGAGAGCTACTTCTCCCCTTTGCTCTCCAAAGTTTTTTTTTTCTAGATAAAAGGGGTCAGCAGGCAACTTCTTCAGTTCCAAGAATAAGGGACTCACCTTGCGGTCTGGACGTTTGACAGATAGTTTGCAACTCTATCCTTGCCAGTAGCACACAAAACTATCTCAGATGTAGCAGAGAGGTCAGAATTAAAGATACCTGAGACCAGGTGACTAGGACAGACACATTGTCCTAACAGCCACATTTAAAAATAAATTTAAAATCGAGATCAGTATGTTAGACACCAGAAAAACAGCACAACTAGATGCAAATCCATAGGAAATCTGGATTCATTACTTTGTCTACTTTAGGAACGAGTTATTTAGCTTGGGAGAATAAATGTACATGAGCTATCCAGTGGTAAATAGTTCTGTGAACACCAGAAAAATCACACAGGACTATTTTAGAAATTCACCGCCAGTAATGGAGAAGAAGCTAAAAGCAGACTTCCAAGTTATTACTTTGTGGAAGTTTGAAACCAATGGGTAATGGCAAGGGACAGGAACAACAGACAGACAAATATCATGATCCTGCAAGTTTTACTTCACTAGAAAACCCTTCTCTAAAATTGGAAATGCTTCATTTCCATCTTCTTTTTTTCTATAATTGTCTGAAATTATCTCCCGGTTGCCACCTGAGACTACCTTGGCAAGAATATCTTAAAGCTCTCAGCTCTCTCCTACTTCCACTTAAATGAAGGAAAGAACTGTTGAAGTTTCCCGTTCCAAACAGAGGCATGAGCTAAGTCCCCTCCAGCAGGAGAAGTTTTGAACTTGAGCCACAGAGAGGAAGACATGGGGCTGTACAAGCGCGTTGGCATAGAACCATGTTATTCTTGTAGTAAATGAGAAAGAAGAGCTGTGGCACTGAGGAAAAGGCAGTTTGCAGACAACCTACAAGTAGTGTTCAGTTTCTAGCTAACAATTTCTAGCTATTTTGATTCAGGAAAGCAGGCAAAGGGTGAAGGCCGGCATGAATTTAATGCCCCACAAGCCAACCACTCGCTACAGACTACAGAAGCAGTCAGGCATCCCAATGACTGCCAGATCCTAAGATCTGAGAAACGTGCACGCAGACTTATAAGCTACTAGATCCAAGCTCTAATCGATCCAGCCTCACTAGAGAGGGGCCCCAAAGAACTCATTTTGGTCTGAAAGTACCAGCACAATCGGGGTTGCACATTTTTAACAGCCCGCTACTTTCTTCTCATCTGAAGCACGAAGGCACACGGCTTGGCTGATGACAAAGCCCCGCTATCACGTCCTGGCTTCAAAGTAACCCATTCATCTTAGAAGAGTAACGCCACAGCTCTTCATCAGGAAACAAACTTTGTTTGCACAAGATTTGTCAACCCTGTGCAGGCAGCAGAATCACTTTTGTGCTTACTCAGAGCATGGCAGCAGTGCTACACTTGTCAAGTCACAACAAAGCACGCTTTGGATACATGAAGTGCACACGTAAAAGCTGGAATTGTATTTAATCGTGGCATTACGTTACCATTGTATAAGCGTGGCACCGCACAGTGTTGCTTCATCAGGGAGCTATGATCCTTACAAGCTTTATTGCAGTCTGAAAAAAGGGAAGCCCTATCGCTCAGTGGGTCATCCAAGATGCTTTCCCTTGACTTTCCAGAACCACGTTGTGATTGAAACCCTTCAAAATAGGAAAGTATGTTCCTGAGGGACTCGACTTGGAGTCACAAATATAACAGAGATGAAGAATGCTAGCACAGGAAATAAGTTATAAAGGGACTTCAAATATTAGGAGCAAGCAGTTCTTAAAGATGAAGACAAGCATAATGTGTCTTCAGAGGCCCCAAAACTGTAACTCAACCTGTTATTAATATCTCTAAGAGTTTAATGTTGTCAGATGCTACATATATACACAGAGTTTATATGCCCATTTTCCTAAAATAATCTGGTTTGTACACACAGCTAGGCACGCATCTCCAACGGGATTTTGGTATTCATGGACAATGTTCATTATTATGTTACTTAACAGAAAACAGCATCAGCTGAAACGTTGTGCTGTGACACTCATTCACTACCCTTCAGAGTGGCAAAGGCTTCACAATAAGCGTGTGTATATATCTATACACACACGCGCGAGTGTAATAATATATATTTAAAAGTTAAGATGTAAACAGCCGTGATTCATTGAAGATCCCTTCACATCAAATGCTACTTCTATTTCTTCCCAGGCATCTGTCAATTACAAAGTTAATTTTAAGACCATCCTGGATCCAAAGGGTTATAACAAGAACACAAGCACCCATACAAAAATTAAACAATTGACTGGCTCTTGCCAAATTCTGCATGACCCCACCCATGTCCTCCATGAGTACTTGACTTCTATGCTGTTTAGAATCCAAATTCAATCCATACATTACATTAACTCATGCCCAAACTGGAGATGACTGTGCAGTGCCACACACATCGTGCCAACCCGCGTTGCAAAGTAAAGGCGCATGCGAACAGAGCTCAGTTCCAAGTCACCCTGCTGACTGATTTGCCAGACTTCAATACCTGGAAGCCTGAGGTGTTGTTTGTTTTCTTAGCATGTTGAAATCATAACAAACAAACAAACAACACGCAGAAGCAGCTCTGTAATTCCTCCCCTTAAAGAAACTGGAACACCTTCTACATTGACACAAGAAGAGAAAGGGGAAAGACCAGAGCACCTCAGCCCGCGGGGTCAGCAGAACACTGCTGCTTAATTTTTGCCACCTTCTTCATGTGCTGTCTTGGGAATCGCAGCCTAAGGCCAGCGCTCGGCTACAACAGTCGAGCCCATGATGCACACAGCAGGCACGTGCCAGACGCACACCACAACGCCACACACCTGACAGACACTTCAGCCCGTCCCTGCTTGGCTCTCGGGAGCACTTACTGCTTAGAAAGCCGAGAGCCAAAGGAGTAAAGCCCCCAGCACGCACCCACAACCTAATTCTCTCCTTGCAGCTGTCAGACTCCTCCAGGCTCCAGCACCAGTCTTCTCTCCACTCTTAAAATCCTTCCAGCTGTTGATAACATCATTCTGAAAGGCAGTAACACCCAAATACTACGTGGTTGTATCTATTCTCACCTTAAAATCACGCTTGGAGCATGAACAGTTTCTAAGTTTAGGTCCTGTGCAGTGATGAATGTACTTCCAGTTGTCAAAACTACTTCACTCCAAAAAGTATGTATTATTTTTGAATAATTGTTATTATAGCAATAACTGAAAGCCAGAATTAAAGTTCTACGTCCTTATAGTAATACTAAGGACCATTTCTCTGTATTTATTCACAGAATCACAGAATCACAGAATTTCTAGGTTGGAAGAGACCTCAAGATCATCGAGTCCAACCTCTAACCTAACACTAACAGTCCCCACTAAACCATATCCCTAAGCTCTAAGCTTCCTTCTTGCTTGTTTGATTACTGCACACGTGTGACAGGTAGCACCCCGCAGTTTGTTAAAGCGCTGTGTAACACAATCAATGTAATTATCATTGCTCCAACACACTGGATACAGAGGAAATAAAGAAACTATAAAGTCGTGTTTCCAAACCAAGCCTTTACATCACCTACTTCTGACTGCCGGGCGTGCAATCACTGTTACCTTTGCTTAATGCTTTCCATAACCGCATCTGCGTGCGATATAACAGAAAGCGAAGATGTTATGTGAAAAGCGAAATCAAGGCATGCAATTTGCGAGGTGCTGACGGCCAGCGACCCAACGCGCCCTCCTGCCTTACCCCGCTCAGCGCGAGGCCTCCGCCGCCGCCAAAATTGCCTGAACCGGGCCCGACTCGTTACCTCCTTCCCCCAGGGAGCTGAGGGCACAGCCGGGGGGGAAGCGCCGGGAACAAACCCGGGGCACAACCGGGCCCCGCTCGCTCCCCCCCTCACGGACAAAGGGGCCCGGTTGGGAGGGGGGGGGAAAGGGGGGGGGGGGCGGCACGCGCCGTTACCATGGCAACAGGACGAAGCCCGGCGCGCGCCCCCCAACCGTCACCTCCCTCAGAATAACGGTCGGGGGGGGGGGGTTAACGGCGACCCCTTCCCTTCCCTTCCCTTCCCTTCCCTTCCCTTCCCTTCCCTTCCCTTCCCTTCCCTTCCCTTCCCCTCCCCTCCCCTCACCGGTGGGCTGGGCGGGCTGGGCGGCGGCGCCCCCACGGCGGGCACCATCCTCCCTCCGCCGCCGCCGCCGCCGCCTCCTCTCCGCTCCGCTCCCCTGCCGCGCAGCCGAGCCTGCTGCCTGCACGCGCGGCCCGCCGCAGCCAATCAGGAGGCGCGGGTCGAGCCGCCGCGGCCAATCAGAGGGAGGTGGGAGGGGGAAGGTGGCGCTCGCTCGAAGAGGGAGGGGCGAAGGCGGCGCAGAGCCAATCAGAAGGCGGAGGGGTCGAGGCTGGCGGCGCGTGCCGTCAGCAAGTTCGGGTGGCCGAAACAGGAACTGGGGGAGATGGGCAGCTCGGCCGGCCAATGAGAGGGCGGGGGAGGGCGGAAGCTCTTAAAGGGGAAGCAGCTGCCGGGAGGCCCCGCCCCGGCGGGCGGCCGTTACCTCAGGGCGGCCGTTACCGGCCCCACAGGGCCCTGAGGGGGGCTCCCAGCGCTTCCACAGCCGGCGGCCGGCAAAGTTTAAAATAAAATAAAAGTTTTATTTCCCCCTCCCCCCCATTTAAAACGTTGTGCTCACAGAACATCTATTTGACAGATAATAAAAAATAATTAAAAAAGTAATAAAATTAAAAAAATAAAAATTCAAATTTAAAATATAAAAAATTAAATGTTGTTTGTCATTAAACACTGGCCTCAGACACCCTTACCCTTCCCCACCACCCCCCTGCAATTAGCCTACAATTAGCACTCCGAATTAGCTGCCCCATCACTTACACACAAAGGGTAACATCCTTACCTTGCTTTTTTTAAGGATTTTCCCTAAAAAGGCAGCCCTTATCCAAACAAGGAAAAATTAGTTCACTTTTTACTAACCCATGGTGCCCTGGAGCACTACAGGACTCTACAAAAGTACTCCCACAAAAATCAATGCTGGGGTCCATCTTCCTCAATGCTACCATACTGTAAAAAGGGAGTAGGGTGAGGTAAAGTTTAGTGGATTTTAGTAGGGATAATAATAGAGGAGTGACAGATGAGCCTTCCAGTACTGGGTGCCAGAGAAACAGATACCCCAATTTTCTATGTGAAGTTAATGAGTTGATTTACCACTTAATTGGATACTAGTGTTGTAATTGTACTTTGCATCGCCTCAGGAACAAATGCGAAGTGCTAAAAGAGATCATAGCACACCACAAGGTGTTAGAAGGGCCATGTAAATACCTGAGTGTTGGATACTGGGTGGGAGTAACCGCATAGAGGAGCCACCTAATTCGTAGAAGAGGGCAACATGGACAATCAGGGATAGTTGCTAGTTTCCGTGTACAGGAGTCACTGAGTTGTCTGAAACTTTACAGACTGGTTGGAGAGGTGACTGGGACAAGCACAGAGAAGGAAAGAAACATCGAAGAGATTAAAATAAGCCGAAGGGTTTGGAATGCTGGGGCAGTTTGAAGCCCAGCAGATCTTCCAGCTTCTGCAGCTGCCTTGTGATGCTGAAGCAGATGAGGGTTGCTCTCCAGACAGATCTCCAGCTGTGCCTTCCAGGCCCTCCAGTAGAGGTCAGGGAAGACAGCTGCTAGCAGCAGCTCAGGAATTCAGTCAAGTCGGCAGTCTGAGACAACTTTTGCATGGTATCCTAACAAATGCAGACTCCAAACACTGATAAAGCAATCTCCATAAGCAGATGCACTGTAACAGATTTGGGGTTACATTCCACCCCCCCGAAAAAGTGTACCACAACACATCGCTCCATAAAAGACGCTTCAAAGCACAAAAGGATCTGAAAAATCAGCTTAAAAACGTCTGTAAGAGAAGATGGAACTAGAATAGCTATGAAGAGGTGAGTTTTACTTAAGTACCTTTCTAAAAAAGGTCAGCTTTGAAGAACACTCACCACATAGTACAATGAATTACTTTACATGTACAGACTTCTTTTTCCAAAGATTGTCTGTTGATAGCTAGCAATTAGTTTCAATACTTTAAAAATACTTAGCCTATAAAAAGCCTGAGTTTAACTCAAATAAGTTATAAATAATATACAGTTAATAATTTAACTATAAAGCACTAAGGCTCTTGATGCCTGGTCTGTTTGTTTCAAGGCCGCTCACTATTTCATGCAAAAGTAGTCCAGGACAGTTGTAATTCCTCTCCTTTCCTCCACCCAACAAGGCTGAGGATTTCTGAGAAAAGGCTCATGATTTCAGGGAAAACAAACAACTCCCACTTTCCTCAGTCATCAGACACACATGGCATTCATCACATAGCAGCCTAATTTACGGTTTATGTTAGAAATCTTCACAGTTAGTTTATGAAGCTGTGGAAGAATGTTCTAAATCTGATCTCAGAAGGACACAGCTGGGCTGCAAAAAACACACAACCAGTCAGAAGTGACATAACTCAAATAGTGCACGTTTATTCTGAACGGTATTTCTAAAGAGTTTGAGAAAAACAAAAACATGCTCCTGATGTACAACAAGGGCAATGATATAGATTAAAAATGGACCATCTTATTTGTAAAGAATTTGCTCCCCCTGCAACTTAAATTGTAACATTGAGAATGCATTTGTAAACTGCAAACAGCATACCTTGAACTAAATTGAAACTCAAGAGACCAGGGGTGGTCTCAGCCAAATTAATCAGGAAGCAGTCGCAGATTCAAAAGAAACATCCAAGTCAGCAAACACTTTACAAAACACAGACTTTGTGGATAGCAGCTGACCCTGGATTACAACATGGGGGAGAATATAACAATGGATGTTTGGGGGGGATCAAATTTTTACTAGACATCACAGGGCACCATCAAGAATTAACAAAATATCACATAAGTTTGTTTCAATTGTAACAGTATGTCATATTTAGTTGGCAGGTTTAACCATTAGCTGCATCATGTAAACTCAGCCAGTTTCTGTATACACAAAATAAATTCTCTCCCTTCCCCCTCCCAAAAATGAGGGATTATCTCTCCTGGATGATTCTTTTTCCCCTGTACCATGGTGTCCTCCAGTAGGAGTCTCTTTGTAGGCATCATCTTCATACTTCAATCCATGTACGACAAAACCGGTTGCAGAGGTTCAGGAATAACGCTTTTATACACACCTTATGCTCTATAGCTGCTAGTTGCATACCTTTTTCTTGCTACATCTTCATCCAGAACAGGAAATGCTGGTGGCTTTTTTTTTTTCCCCTCTCCACTTAAACTCCTAACTTAAAAAAAAAATGTATTTGTTCGTAAGCCGTTATAAGTCATCATTTTTGAGCTACAAGGAGGTCTCGTTGCAGCAGAAAATAAAGTAACTGAAGTTCTCTGCAGTAAGCTCACGCTTCACGCAGTTTCAGTGTCTCTGGAAAACAGCACTACGGCATTGTCCTCCTACAGCCACACAGCCGATACACTAACGCAACTGTTTGTCATTCAGAAGGACTGACCTTCACTCTCCTCCATGTACAGGGAACACAGCTTTCTAAGAGATGTAGATTAAACCTTGTTTTCAAGATTCAACAACCGTTTTCCAGGATTAATAGCCTGGGAAAAGGAGTCTTGGATGCGTGGTTACTCTTTCGTCCACCTCACCTACAATACATTTCATCAGAAGTTACAATGAGGCAGGTTTGCTGTGGAATAGGAGCTCTAAGAATTGTTTTCAGGGATACATTCATAGAATGATGGCAGCCCAAAGCAAAAAGAGACAGAAACAAAGGTTAATCCAAGTAAGTTCAGACATCAGACTCGTACTTTTAAACCTGAAGGAAAACTGTCTGTGAAACACACCGATTCGTGGAAGCCTACGACAACAGCAAATCCTAAGAGTTCATATCCCCACACCCATCTACCCAACCCAAACACTTACCACTTAGTTCTAGAAGAATGAAGAGCACTTTGCTTGGCACCAGAGGCAGCTATGGTCTGAGTTACAGCTGTGCTGCGCAAACATCCTCAAGTACAATACTATCTCTCTCCCTCCTGCCACATACTTCTCTTGATTTGGTCTACAGATGGCCAGGGAAACTATGCTGGCATATGACAAGCTAATTGTGCTTCAGTACATCCCCTTCTAGAAAGATGCCGGAACCGCCAACACCACCAGTGCAAGCAGGTCCTAAAAATAAGCTTTTGTCATCAGTAGGCTGCCTCTGGCCAAAGAAACTGGCGTGCAGCTTCCTGGCCAGAGCCTGCTACCAAGTGTTGCAAACACAGGTGCCCAGGCCATGCAGAGGGGCTTCTGTTGTTAGACATCTGCCCATCACCAAGACTCAATTAGTGCAAACCCAGCAAAGAGAGTAGCTGTTTCCCAGCATAGGTCTGTCCAGATAAACACTCCACACCTCTGGGAAAGGAGCAGCAGTTCTGGAGCAGCTTGTACAGTCACCCCTCAGGCAGCACAGACCACACAGTGTGCGATGAGGGGTGCCATCCCTTCCCTTACGACAGCTCTCACCTCAAAACCCTTGGTTCCCAAGTCACCCTCAAACGACTGGACAGCACCTACTACCAAGATGTATGCTGCAGTGCGCACTACAGGTTGGAGGCTTTCGAAGTGGAGGAATTCAAGATGCAGGATCAAACTTAAACTCAAACAGGAAAGGAATGCAGTTCTGTATCTACTTGGGGAATGGGGCAGGTTGGTGTTGTCTCAGCTCAGTGCACTTTCCCAGCTGCTTGGAGAAGAGTCCAAGCTCAAGTTGGTATTTGTACTGGCATACGTAAAACTGCTGCCAACAGTGCATAGAAAGGAGCACTGATGGTCACACAAAGAAAGCGTGGAAGGATGCAAAGCGGAGCTTAACAGAGCTTACTGTAGCTTGGAGGTTACAGTACTAGGAAGAAGCCGTTCAGCTTATTTTTCTAAACCCGTAAAATGGTCTAGAATATACTGCTTTCTCCAGTGCTCCATGAACACCCTCTGAAGAGAGGAGAACTGCATTATTACAGCTGAAGGGGAAAAGGGGAAAAGAATCTTCAAAGGGGCAAAACGTGCAGTTTTTAAACCACCTCCTCCCGAAGGAGCACAAACACAGCAAGCCAAGCCACTCCCAAGCAAATCCAGGAGACCCATGCAAAGCTATGTGATTAGGGTCAGATTCTTACTTATGTTCTCAACCCTGCTGCCTGGCTTCCTCAACCCTTGCCTCATCTCAGATTTCCTCATCTCGGATTTGCCACCACAGATTTAGTATCCGTAGCAGATTTACCTGGAGACGGGTGCTTGCCTTATGTGATCAAAGCAAGTAAGATGGTCACAATCACTCTTCCCATTCCAACAACACAGGTAAAACTAACTTTCAATGAGCCCGACAGCGTTTCACCCATTTTTAGAACAAGGATCTTGCCTCAGGATTCTTTTTTCTCTTGCCAACACCAGCTATAGCTCTTACTCTGGCAGAAGTCTGCTGGGAATTTGATAAGTGAAGATAAGAAAAAACAAAGACCACTCTAAACCCTCCTCTTAGTCAGTTAAGAAATGTAGCACCAGCTTGGGTGAGGATTATTTAAAAAAAAAAAAAAAGCGCATTCAAAAAGATCAGCCCAGGCAGAGTAAAAAGGTATGGTAAAGTAGCCCGCCCTTCTCAGCAAAAGATGGAGGAAAAAGCCATACTCAAAAATATTGGGAAAAAACTAAAAATACTTTTTTTTGAGGTGGGGGGAATTAAGAGGAAGTGTGGGAAGTACTGAAGTAACATTCAAAGGCTGGGGGGAGTAAAGTACCCTGTAGGTTATAAAAAACATGATCATGTAGGAATCAAAGGACGAGATATTGCTGTTCCTTTCCCCCCCCACCTCAGATTTACATTCTGCTTACTGAAAGAGATTAATTCTCTGAAGGAAGCTTGTCATCAGGATAACCTGCTCAAGCCCTCTGCACCTCAGACTAAAGAGATCTGCACACCTCTTCCCACCCCTAAAAATAAAAAGATCAAAAAAAAACCCCATGATCTGACAATCCTTGGAAGAAGCATTACATTTTGTTGGAGAGAGGTCAAGATAAAAAAAATTAAGGGGTGGAATAAAAAAAAAATCAATAGGCCTCTCTTTCCTTATTTGGCGACAAGCAAGTGCAAGAAAGTGTTCGTTGGGGTTTTGTTCAGTTGTCGGTCTTTTGCACATCTGCGTTCTGGCCAAGACAAGGGGCTTTGAGGTTTTTCTGCAGCACGTGAGCATCTGCGGGCTCTATCCTCTTGTAGTAGTTTTTCTTCGTCTCAATGATCTCAAAGCCAAACTTCCTGTAGAAGTCAATTGCTGACTCATTGCTGATCTGGACATGCCTGGGATAGAAAGGAGGAGAGAAAGACAGGTATCAGAACTCTGTGGGTTAAAATTGTGCATCCACACTGTGAACAAAGGATAAATATAAGCAAGGTAAGAAAATAAGCCATCTAGACAGAGGCAGGAATGATCGTGTAGTTCAGGACTCAAGATTTTGATCTTAATTTAATCCTGAGCTAACACAGCTCCTAGCTGACCTGTGGCAATCATTCTGAGAATTGGCAAATAAAACTCAAACCTCAATAAAACTATTTTAAAGAACACATATTAGAGAAACTCTGCAATACTGCTGCATAATTCCAACTTATCATTTCTAAATTAAGAAATTTTGTAGAAATACATAGAAAAAGTTTTGGAAATTATTATTTTTTTTTTTACACTTCCTTTAGAAACACTTCTTAGATGGCCCAAAACAGTTGTCTGAGTGATGATCCCTACACCCTGTAACACAAAACTAACTGGTGATTGCACTAACATGCCATTGGATATGATTTTAACTCTTTGCTCATTGCTAACCAAGCTTCTCCCCTCACAAAAAACTAAGTCAGCACAAATCAGCCCTATGAACTTACAGATTCTTCCTCCCTTCCCTCCCCCACAGGTTTTACAGATCTTGCTCTAGTGTATTCCCAGAATTTGAAGGCCTCCAAAAAAACCAGCTACTAGTTCTTCCCTCTAAGCAACTAAGGCATTTATTTGCACAAGTTCTACCAAAAAAAAAAAAAAGCTTGGCTCAGCAAAAGGTATTCATCAAATACTCCCCAGATTCAGTGGACACTGCACAAGCTCATGAATCACTTTGTCATGACAACGTGCTGCATAACCATAGAACCAAAGCAACTTCAGAAGTAACAGCAGAGCAAAACAAAAAGATGTTAGTGTCAAGTCTAATAAACACCAAGTATCTAAAAGTGAATTTCATAACAACAAACTTAACCAGCGATATCAAATTGGGTGCCTATACTGCAGAAGTATGTTCAAGTCTGTAGGGGCACAAGCAACAGAGAGCAGTAAAACCAACGGGCCAAAGAATTTTGTTGTGCCCAACTGTGGGAGCTATTTATCACCATCCCAGAATCCCACTCTATTAAACTGAAAGAAGGATTATGAAGGATTGTTTTTTTTCATTAATAACAGCAAACAGTTCCTCTGCTGTGCACACAGTAACATGCAAAAAAGAAAGCCTGTGCCAATTAGCTGGCATCTGAGAGAGAATTCATTACCACTTCCTCTGAGAAGAGAACAGAAATGTAAGCCAAAAGCAGCTTTAATCAAACTCCTCTTTGAAATACCTGCTCCTCTTACAGAGTGCACACAGAGCTACACTAGTAGAGGATTCGCACCTTCTTGGCAGAGTAGGACTCAGCTTGAGGAGAAAGTCACTCTATCTACAGTGGTATCAGTGTATGAAACAGTCCTCACTGCACATCTTCAGTCCTGGCAAGAGCTCAGGGTGCATTTCTGTAGACACGTGGCTGATTTGTTTCAAAAACAAACCAACCAACCCCAGAACTAAAATGCCAAAAAACAATTTTCCCCAGCTGGGTCAGGTCACTGACCAAGTTTACTGTGTTGCTGCACAACAGCTGACCTGTCACACCACAAGAACAGGAATAAACAGTCAGGCTTGCAAGCACCTGTGCTGATGGTCTAACACATATCATCATAAAAGATAGCAAATGACTCAAAACTACATGCAAGATTTTTTTTTTTTTTTACTGTAGCATTGTCCTCAAATGGAAAACTTACCACTTTTTTTTTTCATGCAATGTAATTCTGTTAAAGATAATCGCTTTATAACTAAACTGCTTTCAAATTCAGCAAACGTAGAGAAGCTGTTGTAAAGCAAGCAAGCTCTTGGTTTTCTCTGCATCACACAGGCAGCTCAAAATACAACCCCCAGCTTTCTTGTTAGCATTTACAAGGAAAGATGTTTCATGACCCCCCTGAAATAGATGCTAAAAAGCTTCTGGATCTCCCTCCCTATGTTCCCAAGTACCCCTCAAGTTCTCTTGAATGTATGGGTGCGACTCATTTACTTACAGATAGATGTTGTCAAAAGTGCCATCTTTTTCACAGATGTTTAAGACATGATTCAACATTTTAGTTCCTGCCAAAAGGTAAAGAAATACTTAAAACCAGAAGCACACAATCAGTAAGAGCTTTCTTGAGCAGAGACAGGTTAACCATAGGTAGGCTAAAATGAAAGAGCATGCACTGATGACATCAGCACTATGCTCTAAAATCAGAAAATAAAATTTAATATGGAGACGTCATCTGTGAGCACCAGAATTTGAAAAAATATCATTTGTAAGAAATACATGTTGCAAAGCCATCACTGTGAATGATACTCTTATGATTATAAATGCACCAACTTTGAATAAATCAACTCTCTAAGTAGCTTATGATTTTTCTCCACTGCTGCACTCAGGAAGAGGTTACTAGAACTAGGAAAGGCAAGTAAAATGCAGTATACAAGTACTTCACCATCTTTCTGTATACAAAATTCCACTCAGTTTTATTCTTTATTTCTCTGAAGAAAAAACAGCCCATAAACACAAGTATGGAGCACCTTATCTAAATACAAGCTTCAAGGTCTCAAACTTGGATAAGATGTGGTCAAAGCAATGTATAAACTAGTGAGAACACTGCTAAGTTTTTCTAGTAAAATTTAAAATATTTTTCTTGGTTGCAGGTTTTTAAAGCAAGTAGTTAATACCATAAGGTTCTGATTAACTTGGCCTGCAGATTTACAACATTGAGAAATAGTCATTGCTGTATAGACAGAACACAGGTACTACCCCTGATTAGCACAAGTCAGCAGTGGGAAAATTATACAAAAAGTTAGCAAAAAGCCTTCATTTAGAAGACTGAAGAAGTGACCCAATGAAGGACAGCTGTGTTTCTGGGCTTAGCAACACAAAAAGGTTGTTTATGTACTTGAAAGGGTTGAGAGGAAGGGAACACTGGTAGAAGGGCAGGACACACGTCCTGTAAGGAGAGGCTGAGGACACCTGGGTTGTCCAGTGTGGAGGAAAGGAGGCTGAGAGGCCACCCCATGGCTCTCTGCAACTCCCTGAGGAGGGGAAGCACAGAGGAGGTGCAGCCTCCGTTCGTCACTGATGATGGGATGCATGGGAAGGGCACAATGCTGTGCCAGGGGAGGGTCAGAATGGACATTAGGGAAAGTTTCTTTCCCCTGATGGTGGTCAAACACGGGGGCAGGCTTCCTGGAGAGGTGGTCAATGCCCCATGGATGTCAGTGTCCACGGCATTTGGACAATGCCGTCAGTGATATGCTTTAACTTCTGTTTAGCCCAGAAGGGGTCAGGCAGTTGGACTAGATGATCTTTATAGGTCTCTTCCAACTGAACTACGATATTCTGTGCGAGTTGTCAGAGGTATGCAGCCAGTATGCAAGTTATTTCATGGTATCTCTATGCTTCGATTTGCATATTTATAGAAGCTGTATGTTTCTATCACAGGATGATGTGATTAAAAGAATCTGAAGTACTGAATTAGGAAGTTCTACAAATAAAGTCAATTTCTGAAAGGCAAGAAAGCAAGAGTATGTTATACATCATTCTCTCCCCAATGTTCTTTCCAGAGAAATTACTGCTCTGAAAGTGCACAATCTTGGGCTATCTTGGTTAAAGTAGAAAAAACTCTAAAAGGGAATTTCAGTAGCTGCACAGAAACCTTGTTTCTTTAACAACTCAGACACAAAAGATCTCCTTACCTATTCCTAGCCTTCGGTAGGGTGCCAGGCATCCAAGTGTCATGATGTACAGTCTCTTCTGGTTCTGGGAGTGATCCACCCTACAGCACACTGCTCCCACTGCAATATCATTGAAGTAGGCTGCCAGGGAGAGAAACAAAGCGTTATCAATCACAAGACTCAGACTGCACATGCAACTCCTTCATGTAAGCCCTGTATCTTCCTTCTTTCCCTGTTGCTAATTCCCCCACCCAGATAAAATCAGATCGTGGCCAACACTGAGTGAAATTACCAGCAGTGCTCTGACACAACGGCTGGTTTATTTCAGTTAAAACCAACTAGCAATGACTTCAGAAGGTAAGCTGGCTGCAAACATCAAGTTTCCTGCTGTAACAGAAAACATGTCTATTCCCAGTGAAATGCAAGCTATTTAGGACACGAACCCTTTGAGGTTGGTACTGTAGCTTTTGAAGGCTCCCAAACAGTTATTTCTCATTATGTTAAACAACAAAATAGAAGGATCTGCAATTCAAAACCGTTAAGGACAGCAACAATGAGCATTTCTGCCACCACAGCCCACAATTACTGGCAAAGATGTTTGTACCTAATTTGGCTAGTTCGCCAACCTCCAGTACATCCTTGTAGAACTTGTCATTGTAGCTCACAGGAAAAATGACCTGGTTTAGCCTCTTCAGCTGCTTAATGTTGTGTGGCGTCACATCTCCCAGCTCGATCCGGCTACTGGAACAAACCAAAACATGCTTAACATCTGACACACTCCAACATTTCTATGGACACCAAAAATGAGTTACTTCATGTTTAGGGAACTGTCCTGTCTAAGAATCAGCTCAATGCATATCTGAACTACACTGTTCATACAATCAACTCTTTTGTTGGTAGCTGATGTAACAAAAAAGTAGTGATATACAGTCAGAAGTTTCTCAGGCCACACTTAACACTCACATACTATATAGTACATGCGTTTAATTAGGTTGGCAGACAGCAGAACATTCAGGAGGATACTTACCTCTGTAGGAACATTACAACAGAGAAATAAATCTTGGGAACGACAAGAAGCTAGGTAGACACCAAGAAAATAAAGTCTTCACCCATGCTCCAAAGACAGTCTTAATTCTACCAACTATCAATATGAAGTTAATGCTTCGACAAGCTGGTATTACACATCTCTCTCTAAAATGCAGCAATACTGTGTGCAGCAGCAAACTCCTATTAAGCCTACTAATATGTAAGAGTGCCACTTTCAGGGTGGCACACACATCAATTATGATCATCACCGAAGTCAACAGGAAGAATGACTGAGACAGACTTGAAATACCAGTACTGCGATGAATTATGCTGAGAAGAAACATTCCAAGCTTTTCCCTTTTATGAGGCTAACTTCCTGGTAAAAACACTGCATCATATCCAAAAGCATACGAACAACTATTTTTTTCTGCAATATTTCCCCAAGCCAATTTCTTTGGGGGCAGGTAGTTTTAGCAAGAACTACTAGAATGAAAAATAAAAGACAAGCTAAACTCTCTAAAATAGTCATCAGAAGATGCAAGCAGGAACAAAGCCAATGCCTACAGAGTTAGAAATATACACAATTCTAGGTTCGTCTGCAACCCTGGCTTTACCAAATACACAGGCAGATTGTTTTCTGCTCCAACACTATTAAAGATGTTGTTTGCTACTTCTTAAAAATTTACATGTTTTCAAAAAAGGCAGTTTTATGAGATCCTTGTATGCCAGTCTTCAATGTTACTCCTAGTAATATGTAGCTGCTTTCCATCTCCAACACCTTTTGTGCCTAGTCAGCTTGTTTTTTTTCAAATAGGCTGATGCCTAGGGCACAACAGCTCAGTTCAATTTACATAATACAGTAAAGCAAAGAAGAGATAATAACCAACAGCATTTTTTCCTACAGGAACTGTACCAACAATGCTGAGCATAATCTTTGTCTGCTTTATTAACTGACCTTTATTATGCATCAAAAATCATCTTAAACAATTAGTACTCGAGATACCATATCGGTTTTAGTTGCCACTACCAATGATGGTGATAGATATCCAATGCTTTCTAGGCAGTTATGCAGGCTGCAGAGCAATTAACAGAAAAAAACCTACAGGAACAGAGAGTTTAACAGTTACTTCAACAAGCCTAGCTTGCCCTCACACCCACCTCTCCCCTTTTCTTTTACTGCAAGAACCACAGCCTCCTGTTCTGCAAAGCTATTTCAGCCTCATGCACCGAGGACCGCCACTGCCCACTCTGACACAGATCTCACTACCTAGTGAGCCCTGCAAGAGAGGAACAATTGATAAGCAAGGCTTCCCTTTTGGAGAACCACCTGGCCATAACTAATGGACTATGAATGAGTGTGCAATTCTCCATCAGACTAACATGTTTCAACTATCCTAACTACACAGAACTAATGACGGTACTCGCATATTGAACCTTGCTGCATACAAAGGCTAACCTTTCATCACGTTTGCCAAACAGATCAAAAATCTTCTGGTGTCAAACATCTTGTGGCAGTATGGGTCCCTACAGATTGTTCCAGGCAGCTCCTCATCTTCCCCACATCACAATGAACAGGTGATTTTCTTTCCCCCCCTCAATGCAAGGGGGATTTCTTAAGCATGAATGATTGTAGTTTGCTTCTGAGCTCTGTCCTGTTGCACAGAAATCTCTCGAAAGACCTCTCATCAGAAATGGACACTACGTTCTCCAACAGTGATCTCAGGACTGACAGAAGAAACTAGTGTCCATAATCTTACACTTTACCTATGCCAACATCCCCAGGCGTACTAAAAGCAGCAGCAGGATATATCACTGAAGTTTCTATCTACAAGCCAATATGCTTTGCTCAAATAGTAAGCAGTATCCATCTTCCATGGCTCCTACTGCCACCAGCCCTTTGTTTTACAGCTTCTTCCACCTTCTAGATTATTTTGCTCTCAATAGCAAGATTCCCTTCTTCATGTTTCACCACTTGCGCAAGCCCTTCTGAGAATTATATTCCAACATGAAGTGCTGAGCTTGTAAGGGATGATCTCCTCACAGCACGGAAGTACTGCATGGTAAACAAGCATGCTATCAAATGATAGCAAAGTTATTAGACAGTGAGGTAATTAACACTTGTTTTTACGCCCAGCTTGGCACAGCTGTTCAGCCTAGCATGGCAGGGCTTCTTCAGGCATGCACAAAGCAACTTGCATTCTTGCCTCATCCCAGCCAGCACTGCTGCCACCTTTCCTCACAAAGGGCAGGAATTAAACCATAACATGTGAGGTTCCCGCATGTATTAGTGTCCACGAGTGCTGTGCTCAAGAAAAACACCTCAGTAATCTCATACCAGGTGCAAAGAGAAGGCCTCTTTCACTGCAGTCTGCATCAGAGTGGAAACCAAAGGGAGCAGGTCCCACCTGCCCAGTTAGATCAGACCAGCTGCAGAGAAGATGGTCAGTAAGAAAAGAGAAAAACCTCATTTACACTCAATCCCTTGAAAGCTTAGACTATTTGTCCAAAAGATTGACTAATACATTAAAAATGAAAAGGTATCACCATGGTTAACCAGCAGATCCCAGGTTCAGTAGATCACTAACTAGCCTGAGCTTTTACAATGAATTAATGGTGAAGTTATTGCAGAGCAACTCCCACTTTGCACATCGGCAAGTCTCCAACTACTAGCAGGTAGCTTGTGCTTGCTGATAACACTTTCAAATTAGTCATTAATGAAGCAAGAAATCAAGCATTAGAAGACAGTGGGCCAGGCACTGTGAAATATCTTCTGTGATTTCATCAGAAATATCTTATCAAGGGCAGTTAGGATTGAGATGGCTAAGAAAGACATGGTCTTCCCCAAGAAGGTTCCAGACAGGAAAAAATAAGTAATGGCAGAAGGAGAGTTTGAGGCTGCTCATAGCAGCTGAACCAAGACATAACCTCTCAAGTGGTCAGGCCAGAGAAACAGTTCCAGCAGCAGGTGGCTGAAACGTGCTGCCGAGTGATTTCCTGTAGCCCCTGGGCTCCTCACCCCTGTCACCTATTGCCACATTCATTGCTTGCCTCCTGCCAACCTCCTCTGCTCTGTCACTAGCTGCTTCCTCCTGGCTTGAGAATTGCAGCAGGGCCAGCAAGTTATCCTGGAGGATAATACAAAAGAAGTTTGAGAACCACAACGGGAAGCGTAAACCGGTATGCTAAGCACATCTGTTTAAATATTATGTACTCAAACCATAAATTATGTTAATGTATAGCACTGGCTGATTAAATCAACACCACATCTATTACACACCTTTAATAAGTAAACTAAATGAGCCAATGGAAAGGAAGACCCACATCACGAGAGTTCACTTTGCTGGAGGACAGCACAGCCAAAGTGCCACTGGGGCCTCAAGTAAAAACAAGGGAAAGCTTTCCCTGCTGCTGAATGAAAGCAGTGCTTTTGCTGTCCCCAAGCCACTCATTTCCACCCTCTTATTGGCACAAAGGTTTGTGCAACAATGTGGTGAACCAACCCCAATTAAAACTAACTTAGCCAAAAAAAGAAAAGTTTAGTTTTAACCCACATCAGTCCCCCGATTGGGTTCACCACATAAAGTCTGCTGCCAACACAGAGGAAAAAAATCTGCCAGAGGCAGAACTGCTTCTTGAGCAGAAGCGCTAGCTTACCCCAGTTTAAACTGCTTCTGGAAGAGCCGTGCAAGAGGAGCTCAGGGATAATTCAGTGAGTAGGTGATTTTGTGCTCTACCTTATCACATGTGGAACAGTGTGCACTTTGTTACAGGTACTTTGTCTCAGATCTTTTGAGGCTGGGGTTGTTTTAAGGCCCTAGTTTCAAAGTACACCACTTGGCCACTCCTTTCTTTCCACTAGAGTAATTGCAGTAGCTTTTCTATTGCCTTTTTTTTTTTTTTTTTAAGAAAGCTAGTTACAAGTAGACCAGTTTTCTCAAGTTACTTTCAGTCAAACCAGTAACAAATTTCCTGTATCAGTTAGTTTGATAAGGCCTGTTCCGTGTATTCCAACTCGGCACAGGCCATACCACAAACATCTATCCTTTACTGTTGCAAGGAAAAAAAAAATCACATAATGAGCTCAAATTATCATGAGAGAACCTGAAGCACTCAGAAGGAACCTGTCCTTCCTTAAGGAGTTATTTTATTCTATTATTCTAATAATATTCTTAAGAATATACAGACTTATTACTGTCATCCTGTATCTCAGATAACACCCCATGCAAAAGGCAGCAGTCAATTGTATCCATCTTAGGTGTCACAGCTTCTGGAGCACTGCAGGCCCAACACCCCATGCAATTAGTTTTAACAGGGAGGAAGAAGGGACTCGTGGCTCATCACATCAGGCCTCATTACACACGGTGCTCATCTAGGAAAGCGTAGGAGCTCCAGCCCCTGGAGCCTCTTAAACATCTTCCATTGCAAGGCTACTCCCAAGCCATCACCATCCTCAAAGTTTTTCTTCTGATTCCCACCCTGAATGTATTCAAGCCCTACCCATCTGCTCTTCTGCACTGCTCATTTGCTTCAGCAGTTAATGTGCGGCAACACACCCCACAGCCTGGCTTCTCAGACACCTACCGTGCTCTCTTTCAACTTTCCTGATCTTGACCTAAAGGCAAGATCCCAGCCTCCTTCTTTATTGCCCTATTGTCATCCTAGCTCTTCTCTGCACCCCTTCAGATTAATTTTCCTTAAACACAGTTGACCAAAAC